CAAATCAGTAAAAAAGAACATAAGAAATATTTCTGCGATAGGTATGTATAATAATAATAATAATAATGATGATAATGATGACGATAATAATAACAGTATAATACTAATAATAATAACTTATTTTTATTCTTTTTTCCAGATGCCTGCATTACTTTAGCTCAAGTGCTAAATTAGAGCTCCACAGCACGGATTGCGGGAAATTAAACGATTGCGCGATAAGGCTGCCGAGCAAGAACGACAAGTGGCTCAAGTTCAAGAATCACTACAGGAAGGAGCGCGTCCCGTTCGTCGTCTACGCAGACCTGGAGTGCGTGCTGGAAAAGATGGATACGGAGTCCACATCATCCACGTACACTTATCAACATCATCAGGTATTTAGTATAGCGTATTACGTACACTGCTCGTACGACAACTCACTGTCTTATTATAAGTTTCGTCGCGATAATAATTGTATATCGTGGTTCGCGGACGAATTAAAAAATTTAGCACATAATGTGCAATCTGTAATTTCGACTAATGTTCCCATGGCAGATTTTACACGCGATGACTGGCAAAAATTTAACAGCGCCACGCACTGTCACGTGTGCGAAAAACCGTTCGCGAAAGACGATAAGCGAGCACGCGATCATTGCCATTTGACCGGGCGATACAGAGGCCCCGCGCATTCAAATTGTAATTTAAATTATAAAGATTTGTCTTATGTGACTGGCGTAATGAAGAATACACTTGGTCAATTATATTTATCTCATATCTGTTTTTGATCAAGAAGTTCAGTATCTTTTGTATGCACTTGGCGTATGTTTTTTTCTTTTTTTAAAATTTAAAGTATATTTCAAAATTTTTTTGTACAAAAATATTTAATAATTTAGAATCTGCGCCGGTCTACAGAGACGTATTAAAAAAAAAATGGTTTTGCGGTGTGCAAGATATCTCGGCAGGAACTCATCTGAAATAAAAAATCCAAACAAAATTCATTAGTATATTGTATAAGCTAGTACTTAATCGTTCGGTTTTTGAAAATATTGATTAGAAACAAAATGGCGTCTCATTAAAGAAAAGTTTTCGATTTTTACCTTAAAAATTGTCCTTTTTTCATTAATAAAAAAAAAACTACGCATTTAAAATATAAACCCTTCGATTAATTACGAGATATTCATGTCCAAAGTAAGTAAAAAAAAAAATTGGAGAGATCGATTCATTAGTTTTTGAGATATCTTGCTCACCGACTTAAAAAATGTAGTTTTGAGAAAAACGCGTTTAAAGTTTAAAACCAGAGAAAATGTATTTAAAAAAATTTGGGTTTTACTTACATAGTGTCATCTATTCCAGGTCCATATAACAGCTCTTCTGCAGCAGCAGCAGCTTCCAAAGTTTTAATATATCTTTGTTTGCGAGCCGTTTGTACTCACTTCCGTGTCGCGCGCGAATTACTAAGTAGTTGTGTGTTGGCGATCGTCATGTAATTAGTTGCAAAATTACACACAACTAGTTTCATGACGATTTTCAGCACACAACTTCTACTTAGCAATTTTTCGCGTGCGACATGGAAGTGAGCACAAACCACGAACTTTCAAACCCTAGTAGTTTCATTGCCGATATGAAAAATTTAGATTTATAATAAAGTGAATTTTTTTTTATATTGTAAATATATTTATTTTACTATTTATGTACAAATTTATGTTTTTGTCCAAAAAAAGCGCATTAGGCCGCACTATAATCGAGTGTGCGCACAGTGAGACCATGCAACGGTCGAAACACTGTCGGACGCAAGTACACAACAGCCTGTATCTCTGGAAATATTTGTCGGATCTATTTAAAACTGTCAGAAAATATTCTTCTAAATACCTACTTTTAGAAAATATCATTTTTGAAAAATCGATTTTTTGAAAATTTTAAACGTAAATAACCCCTTAAGTAATTTCTTAAGATGCTAATACGGTCCTCTAATTGGCTTATGCCTTATGTTATAAACCTTAGTCCGTATCTACAATAAGAGTGTTTTAAGCCTTAAGTCATAAGGAATTGACTAATTACAGTCAAAAATTTTTCTCGTATTCGAATTTAATTGATTAATGTCTTATGGCTTAAGATTTATTAAAAAGTAAACCTAATAATCTATATTGTAGTTATTTAATCTCATTTTAAGAAAAATTAGGACATTTTGATGTAAAAAATAATTTTTTTCGAAATTAACTTTTTTTTCAACTTGAGGTAATTCAATATTGACTTAACTTACGTTAAGTTAATTTTTTATTCCTTCAACTTTTAACTTAACTTTATTAATTTTGTAAAGCCATTAACTTTAACTTTATTCAGTTAAAAAAAACCATTAACTTACCCAACCCTG